GATCAAGCGAAAAGAGACAAACGACTTGTTGGAAGAATGCCTCTTTTAGTGTCCAGTTTGCTACGAAGGTATGCCACTATCCTACAGAAAAAACTTTGGTATACACACTTACAATATATCTAGCTCTGGAGAAACTTCTGAAATGATTATTCAGACCCTTTTCACCATGGCCGCTTTTCCTGAAGGAGCAAAGGTGTTCTTCGACATCGAGGATGTAACTCCCCTAGTTGAGGTCGCCCCAAACAACCCATCTGCTCTCGAGATCTTTTCTTTTGCTTGGATCAACTGCATGGACATTGCAGAAGACAGGATCGTCCTGGAGTTCAAGATAGACAAGACAATTCAAGCTCTGGTGTCGACGTTCAACGGCACGGATGGTGTTACTTTGCTCGAGTTCCTCGGCAAATTTCTGCGAAATTCGGATCCCAAGGTACCTTCCCCTTTACGACAATACAGGCAGCTGACTTACACTTGAATAGTCCCTACCATCGAATCCGAAGTGGATCAAAACATCCACAGACTTCATCAAGAAACTTCTGGCCAGCCGGCCTACGCCAGAGGCAAGGAACGCCTATACCATTGCGGCTGCATCCTTGCTTGAGGTATACCCCTCAGAAGCATCAAAACTCTTGTTCACCAGCGATGAGAAGGATGATAAGCCCTTCTCGTACCTATTTATCACTCTCCTCCTCACCGACACCAGAGCCAGCCTTCCCCGCCTCCTTGAGCTTCTCAATGATCCTATCTACCCAGCCATCGCACAACGGTTGGGCTCGGCCTTTGACGTCACAACGCACTTCATTGGCTATCTGGTGAAGAGCCTCGACGATGAGAGTCCATCGTCAGCTGCGCTAGTGATGCCTCCCGACTTTCTACTAAAGATCCGTCGGACCATTTCGGAGGCCCTGTCTCTCGCGATCGAGTTCCTCCGAGACAGGTGGGATGCGTCCGTGGCAGGCGCCTTTGGCCTACACCCCGAAGCGCGTGCAAAGGAGACCGATACCTCCATGGGGAAGAGACTGACAATCTCTTGGGAGTCAAAGAAGAGCAACGTTCACGAGGACCCTCTAATCCTGGCAGCTGTCAAAGCCCTGGCCATCTGGCTTCGCGAGGACGATAACGACTTGCTGAGGAAGGAAGGAGCAGGGCTGACGGACATGTTCCTCGACCTCTACAAGTCGAGCTCACCGTCAAGTCTCGACTTCCGATCACCGATCCTAGTAGGTCTGGAGGGGACGCTGGTCGAGAAGACTGGGCTGGAGGAGTTCACGACACACAACGGCTGGGACGTCTTGACCAAAGACCTCGTGGCCATCTTACAATCCACAACCACGTCAAGTGACGAAAGCGAAGCCGCGCGCGCCATCGAGATTGTCCGCATCCTTCTGCCGATCGTGGAGGGCGAGGAAACCGGCTCGAGGGAAGAGTGGATGGCCCTCGTGACGACCGTAGCCGCATGGCACGCTCCCGAAGTCAAGCATCCCGCGCTGGTACAGGAGGCTCACATCGCGGCTCTCCAGCTCACCACCGCATTACTGGTGGGTGCTCCGTATGGTATGAGGCAGCGCTACGTACACTCCACGAGCGCCGTGCTGGGCATAGCTGGGCAGCTTGAGAAGCACGTGAGCTCGGATGACCCGCTGAGGGAGTCCTTGGACGATGTGCTGCAGACGTTAGATAGACTTCGCTAGTTTTACAGCTTCGTAGACAACCAGATCATTTGTAACTGGCGAATCCATGTGCGCAGACATACGTGGCAAGAGATTTCCATCTAGCCAGCAAAGGTTTGAGTGACTACCCGCTCAAATGATGCTGAGAGAATCTAACCACGAAGCCGCGAGGTTGATAGATGAGAATATCCATCAACTAAGGTACTCTGATGAGTCAATGAAATTAACAACGATTTTCTGTAAACCACCCTCACATATGAATATGGGCTGTACGACTTGCGTAGTGCCAAAATTCAGTTGAGCTAACTGTAACGGAATACTATACCAAGTTTGACTCATAAAGTTAAAAAGGAAAAAATAAAGAAAGAACCAGCGTCTCTCTCTCCCTCTATCTCACTTATTGTACGAAGTGACTTACAACTCAGGAAGTTCGTTCTAGGGCACTGCGATTGAATGTCAGAGTAATCGAGGCAGGGAACGAAAATCACGCTCAAATGTCGTTATTCCCAAGTAAGGTGATTTGGTAGGTTCATAATTTTTTAAATTATCGCCTTGAAATGAACAGTCATAATCTACAGCCTAGGCGAAGGTCTCGCGAGGAACAAAAGGGTTGTAGAGTTCATAGTCTTCCCGGCTCGGAAGAAAACTTCACATTGATGGCTACAGACCAATATCGAAATCTCCATCGATACAGGAAATGAAACCCCCTCACATCAACTCAGACCGCAGCCATCGGGGCTTGTGTCTCATGCCGAACAGCTTCCGCGCCCTCATCGACATCGTCCCTCTTCAACGCCGCAGCCGCCGCAGCCTCAGCCTTGGCTCGCCTCTTCCTCGCCCGGCGGACCTCGATCTCGATATCCTTCATCTCGGCGTCCACCGAGACTAACCGGGGGATGATGTCCTGCACGGCCTGCACCGAGAGCGATTGTGCCTGCCTCAAAGGCATCGGCGCCAGGATCCCGAACCACCGGAGGGGATCATTACTCTTCTTCTTCTTCTTTTGCTTCGTCTTTTCCCTCTCGTTCTCCGCCTCATCCTTCTTCCCGGCCTCATTCTCCGTCTGCTCCTCATCAACGGAGGTTACCCCTTCCGGCTCCACGCTCGGAGCCTCATTGACATCATCATTCTTCGCCGCCGCCGCCGCCGCCGCCGCTGCAGCCTCCGTGGTCTCCGTCTTCGGCTCCGTCACAGCATCAGCCCCCTCCACAACCTTGACAACCTCAAAGCGGGGGGTACCCCTGTCATCCACGGCCAGCTCGAGGGTCCTCGAAGCCCGCATGCGCTCGTCGTAGTAATCCGGCCCGTAACGGACGCCCCTCTCCGCGGAGAAGTTGGCTCGTGCAATGTTCTGATACATGCCCGCCTGAGTCCCGCTGAGGCGCTCGCGCAAGGCCGTGTACTCGTCCAGCAGGATGAGATAGCGCTCCAGGAGGCTATCGATGTGGTTCGTCTCCATTGTCTTGTCTGCCTTGGCGTGTTGGGTTGTGAGTTGCGAGGCGTGTGGGATATGAGAATGTGGCGGCCGGGGTTCAAGGTGAGCAAAGCGCTATGGGAGAGGTTGAAAGATGCAAGGGGTCGGGCTGCTGTGGCTGAGGCGTGCGGCTGAAGGGGACTCAGAAGCATGTACGGGTAGGTAAAGACCTGTCGTGTTGTGTCGCCGAGGTTGCCTATGCAGCTGACTCTGAGCGATGAAGATGAGATGGTCCCGTAGGGCTATGCATGAGGGTGATTGTTGGCTGTAGCCTCACATGCGTTGGAGATTTGTGGCTTGAGTGATGATCTGCGCAGAAGGAACGGCACTATCATGCAGGGGTAGCCTTGAGCTACCTTACTGTGTAGGTACCTTAGATAGGGACTGCAATACCCGAGTCTGCGGCAATCGGTACCTATACTTTACTTCATCCATCCTTGGCGCCTTTTCATCGCTCAAACAATACTCTAATATAAGTATTGTCAAGTCACTCTACTTTGGGCTTGTCCGCCTTGAGCCGCCAGCCCAGCGACTTTTTAATCAAAATAACTCCCCGTGTAAGTTCTTGACATGCGACGATCCCGCGGTCAAGACATTCCAACGGGTAATGCCACCTGCCAAGACAAAGCTTCCCAAAAAAAGACAAGAGAGAAAACGGCTGAGCAAACAAGCGTGCGAGGAAACCTGATGCGACAGCAACGGTGACGTGAGAACACACGTACAAAGGGACTGAGGCGATGTCGAGGCTCGGCGGCAAACAAAGCGAGAACAAAGACGGATGGATGGAGAGCATGGGTTCAGTAATACGGATACATCTCTCCTTTGATCCTTTGGGGTCCTGTCATGCCCTGCCAGTGTACTTTTATTGTCGGATGGCCGTCGGGTTGGTGGTTGTTTGTAATGCGTTCGTACCAATGCGACCTTTCTGGCATAGCTTCCTGTTTCAGCTTTCGACATTGATGGATACGATTTGCTGTCGAATGCTCCCGTGCGCCCAGCAGGGAAGGATGCCGTCTGAAAGGGAGACATGATGGACAGAAATGAAGATAACTGATGGCCACGCAGACCGACGCCGCCATGGGGTCCAACTGCCTGTTGGGGACCTATTTGGATTCCCCGTTGTCAGCGCCAATCTGTCGAGCACGAGCCGGGGATAGTCCTTTTATGTCGGTGATCCCGGTGATCTATCTCGCAGGACCCTGAGCGATGAACGTAGGTGGGACTGGGGAGGATGGTCGGAAAATAGGCACTCAGAGCTTGGCCTTCTGAACGCAGCTCGGAATAATGATGAGATTCGGCCGAAGACCATGAGGAATAATCGAGAACAGTATTCGTACAACGCAATGCAAAAAGGGAAGCAAACCGGGCCATCGCGCCAAGCGTGAGCGACGGATGGATCGAAGCATTAAAGAAGGCTGCGGACTCCCGTCTAGCTTATACCCTGTACATGAGAGACTGCCTCAAACGCGTGTCGTCCATATGACTTGGAAGGCATCGTCCAACCCCAGGGCTACTTCGCGGGCCTGACGGTGTTTCGATGCCCACTTTGACAGCGCGAAGCGAGGGTACCTTAGCATCCGGGACGGCAAACTGCAGAAGAAAGACTTGCTAGGGATTGAAATCGAATTGGCACGGCACGCCGGGAGCGAGCGACGAAATGGCGGCGTGTCAGTGTCAAACGTCGAGGTTCAAGACCTTGTGGTCGAGCCGAAGACAAAGAAGGGATTGCCGGCTTGATTTCTAGGTTAACGAGCCACACATAGGGTCAGTCCGCGCTTCCAAGTACTATCCAGCCTAGGTATTTTTTCCTTTTTTCGCGATGTGGCAATGACAGCTGACGCACGACAGCGTAATTATCACGCCTGTCTTACTTGAAGGGCATTCACGACCATGCTTCGATGTGAACCGTAAGACGAAGTCGAGTAGTCGATACCCAAATGCATGTTATTCTGGGTCCGCGTTGCTGTCGATGGAGGTGCGGATCCGCCCGAGAAGACCATCTCAGAACCAGGTCGATCATTAATTAGTGTCGGTCTGAGACGGTGGGGCCCAGTAGCTTAGATCCCGCAGTGCATTGCAGCATTAACGAAGAGCAGCAATGTGTGGTCTGGATCCGGTGCCCCTTCCCATCTCGATAAACGGCCGCAGCAGGCCGCGAGTGGCGGGAGGTCGCCGACGTTTGTGGTTGAACTTACGATTTCCATGCTGATATGAGGAGGCGTCAATACGGATTGGTCCTAGGGAGGGGAGAGAGGCATGGGACGGTTACGTGAAGAAAAATAGATCAGGCAAACTTTGGTGAAAACTCTGCTGGACAAACCTGGGCTGAGCTGAGTTGTTGATGACATGAGGGCATTCCTTTCTTTTTCATGCGTTGAGGAAACCTACCTCATCTATGGAGTAGGTGTCAAGGTGCCGGTCTATTATCGTCTGATATTGTTCTGGTGAAAAGGCGTCTCTGCAAAGTGGCAAGAGCATACAGCACTGGTGGGAATGGGCACATTCCACCTCGCTCCGCTGCGAAAGGGTTGTTAGTTGGACGAGAATGATCCCTCTATGGTAGGTGCGAGAGAGACAATTGAACCGTTGGCAGACGGCACTTGGCGAGATGTGCGTTGGGAAGCGTCCCTACCATGAAAGGCCAATGCAATATGCGGGTTCGCTGGCGTGATGCCGGGACCGTGATGCACACACAGTGCCTACCTTAAGTTACCTATGCTCGTGCTTTGCTGGTGGAGGAGTACTCTAAATCTGTGCTACTTGGGACTTGCTGCAGAAGCTTGGACGATGGACCGAGTAGGGTTTAGCAATGTAAATGCTCCTGCCCGCCATAGACGTTCATCCAAGACGAATCGAGCGTACCTACGCGGATTAAAAGTGTACCTTAAGGTGCCTTATTGTACCTTTGGTAGAGACGCAGGCAGGTGGTTGCCTACCTCTGCACTTGCATCTTCCTCGTCGAAGCTTACCAGGTACGTAGTTACGTATACTTCAACAGAGGTAAAAGCACATGCATTTTGCAACATGAGAATGGTGGGGAACGGAATTCTAACGCCTCAGGCCCAAGTCCCTCTACACAATGTGCAAAGAAGTGACGAGGGTTTCTCAATGTACGGATACCTCACCTGGGCGACTGTCAAAACTCGACACTTCGGGTACGCTACATAGTAGACGCAACACCACTTGGCACCACAAGCACAAACAGCTTGCGGCTTTGGTCCCTTGGTTACCAGAAGCAGTCGCAAGTTGCAACGCCATTGCTGCTGGAGTCGAAGCCGGTCCAAAGATCTTCTCAGCTCGACCCAAGCCAGCGGATGCCGCTCTTTCAAAGACGGGGGGACGATCCACTCTTTACGGGTTAAAAAAGTGGTCAGTGAGGGCGGTGAAGGACCAAGACGAAGACGAGGAGCAAGCTACGAATGCCCCGCGCCCTCAACCCCGAGCCAGACGGAACCATCAAGCCGAGGGTCCCAAGACTTTTGTCCAACTCATCACCATCGTGGCCACGCGCCTACCTTATCACCTTACCTAGGTCCGCTTGGGTAGATTTGCTGGCACTTGCTGGAGAGCGTTGGGCCAGGTTCTTGGTGCGGATGGGGAGGGCAGAACTACGCTGTACGCTGTATCGGGCAACATCGGCAATGGCACCAACAAACGCACCTCTCGGTATCCAAGACAAGCGCATGAGGGGTTGGCTTGGTGCCTCCTTCACCTTCATACGAAATACCTATCCGTAATGGGCAAATGGGTGGCTGCTTGCCCTCCCGTCCGTATACCTACCGCATCTCATTCCCTTCTGATATTAGCGGAAAGCACAGGAGGGAGGACTCGCCCTTGAGACTGAGATGAGCAGACCGGGGCATGGCACCGACGCTGGCTACGTAACCCCTGGAAGTTGAGGTGAGCGTCGAACAAATTAAAGGGAATGGAAGCCGGCGAGAAGGAAGATTGGTGAAGAAGGCCCCGCTCACCCCCGACCAGGCTATTTGTTCCAGAATCCAGCAGCGGCATCAACCCACGTCTGCGGCCTGCACTGGGTTATTCGATACCTTGGTGCCTATTCGTACTCCGTACATACCTTACTGCTTTCCACACAATCCAAGGACCAAGGGAACATGGCTGGACGTTCTTGACCTTCCGGGTTAGGCCATGTCCTCCAGCTAGCACTGCACCAGGCTATCTCAAGCACCCCAACGCCAACCGATCAGGCGCTATCCATTCCTCTGGAACACTGACCAGTACCACCCCTTCCAACCCCAATTATTGCAAAGACCAGCCTTGCAAACACCAAATTAACATGTTGACTTTGATGCGGGAGCAAAGAAGAGCAGAGGCGGCGGCGGTTATGGACTTGTGGTGGTAAACAGATCAGAGACCTGGAGGGACCCTCCTGACACGACACGGGCACTCTCCAATTTCTACCCGCCCCCAGCCTGGCTCACCCTGACGCCTAGGCTCAGGGCACGAGGTACGAGACACTTGGTCCAGCAACAAGTCACTTTGATGAGGAAAAGATGAGACGAGAGGCTTTGGAATTGCTTGCTTTTCGACTGCCCATTGACTGGAGACGAGGGGTCCCCCTTTCCATCTCTCTCCTTTTCATGACCCTGTCACTCATTGGGGGCTTGCTGCCCTCGTGAGGTCTTCCGAATTGCTTTGGACAGTAATTATTCGTGAGGATACTTCTCTGCGAGGTTTTGTAAAGTACCTTGGAGTCTACCTCTCTGCTGAGAACCAGAACCTGGGTAAACAGGAAGGGACGGTTCCTGTATATGCTGCAGCTACATCCTTTTGTACTTGCCCTGTGCTTATTAGCCGTACTTCTTGCCCAGGTTCTTGCTGTCAACTGCCATAGATGATGGACGTCTTTGTTCGTCCTTCCATTCAGTAGGCCTGGAGATGGGACTCGGGAATAAGTACTCGGGAATAAGTACTTGTGGGTATGGTTGTCGCCGGGTAGATAGTTGGCCGAAACAACCCAGGGCAGATGTTCAGTTTCCTTGCATTCGAATCGAAGATGACAACATGAGAGGTATACATAATAGTGATTGAGTGTCTTCATTCTGAGAGTGTCGAGACACACAATATCTCAGCATACAACACATGCCTTACCACGCGCGCCTCATACAACTCTTTCGGTCTCGTCTGTCTCTGCACCTTGCCTTACTTACGTGTGGTGTGTGCAACGTTCTCTTCCTCTAGCCTCCCATTACCTTGCCTTGCCTTGCCTTGACACTGACACCAACTGACACTCGTCAATTCCACCCGTCTGTTGACTCAACTTACCTTTAGGTACCTGCCTTACGCCTTCATCTTTTCTTGTTCTCCCCTCGCTCTCCTCTCACCCAGATGCTGACCTCATTCGACGAAAAGAAGAAAGAAAATTCAGGGAGTTTATAAAACTCAAAACCCCTGACGCAAGGTCGAATTTGCTGCTACCTTACCCGACCCCGTCCTCCCCCTTCTATTCCCAGATTCAGTCTGGCAGTCTGCTGAGGTGTCCCACTTTCCCGCGTGTGTTCTGCCGCTGATGCACCGCTGCAGCGTGTGTCGAGACCACCGCCGACGCCATCGCTACCTTGCTAAAATAAAATAAATAAAAAATCCCCGACGACATCTCACTTGTGACCTCCCAGACTATACGGAGTACTGCGTACACAATACCTTACTGCGTAGACGTCCTTGTGCTTTGGTTGGGTCCCGTCACCTTGTCACCTCCTTCTCTCACTCGCTCCTTCCCTACCTTGCCTTGGCTCCGTTATCCTTCGCCTTACTCTTTCCATTTACCTTGCTGGCGTCCCTCGCCGTCACCTTGTCACCTTGTCCCTTGCCTTGCTCTCTTACTTCACCTTCTTCTTACCACCACTACCACCTGCACCCAAAAGAGAGAGAGAAGAAAAAAAGACCACCACACCGGCACCCGACCCAATCCACGTCTTTTCTTCCCCTTCGTCGTCGCCGCCCCCCCATTTCGACCTCGACCCCGTTCTCCGTCTCCACTACCCACCTCATCTTTCCGCCCTGCAGCAACGGCAACCACCACCGCCACTGCTCCTAGTCTCTTCCATACCTTGCTGCTACTCCGTACCAATACTACTACCACTACCACTGCCACTACCACCACACTTTACCTACCACCCGCTTCGACTCCTCTTGCCCGCTGCCACTCTAACCCCCAACTACCTGCGCCTGGAAATCACACCCGACTCCGACCCCGACCTCGACAAGACAATACACTCGACACGACACGACGCGCCGCGCGATAAGGGAGAGACTGAGAGACCGGTCTTAATTGTTCTTTCCACAGGTCTCTGTTCCTGCACAGGAACAACATTGATCTAGACAATGGTCGTCGCTACTATCAAGTGCGTACACTTTGAGCCTCTTTTCGCTAGGCTTCATTTTCTCACTTTCCCCCCCTTCCCGACACCTGACACCTGACGGCTTGTCGTCGCCCTTTCCACTATTTCGCCTGCCTGCTGCTTCTGCCCTGTCTGCATCGTCGCTGTTGCTGTCGGATTCCACTGCTCCCTGTCGCTGGGAAGGCTTCCCTTCACCGTTGCCAATCCTGACTTGAACTTGACGATCGGCAAATGGGCAGCCATCAAAGCGCGCATGTCACTAGCCACTTCTGTTTGCAACAAAAACTAATTCCCTCTCTCCTCCTCTAGGTGTGTTGTCGTCGGTGACGGTGCGGTCGGAAAGACATGCCTTCTCATCAGCTACACGACGAACAAGTTCCCCTCCGAATACGTTCCGACCGTCTTCGATAACTATGCCGTCACTGTTATGTGAGTCCTCCCCTGCAACACCTCCAAAACAATCCAAGATCGGGTTCCACAAAGCATAGACAAAAGGGTCTTTCCAAGAGATGGTCAAAGGGCGGAGGAGCCGACGAGTGGATGAATCAAAAACAATGGGGATTCGAGAGAGAAAAGAAGCCGCAAGAGACGAGAAGTTGCTGGACTGTTGGTAGGCCATTTCGCTAATGGTGGATTTTTCTCTTACGCAGGATCGGTGACGAGCCTTACACACTGGGACTGTTCGATACCGCCGGTCAGGAAGATTACGACAGACTCCGCCCCCTTTCCTATCCCCAGACCGACGTCTTCCTCGTCTGCTTCAGCGTCACATCACCTGCCTCCTTCGAGAACGTCCGCGAGAAGTGGTTCCCCGAGGTACATCACCACTGCCCCGGCGTCCCTTGCCTTATCGTCGGCACCCAGGTCGATCTGCGC